TGTGTTCAGTCTTTGGCTCCTTACCTTAGGAAAGACATTGAATTGTTTGAAAGGGTTCAGAGAAGGGTTACTAAAATGGTGCCGGGGGGGGGGGGTTGTCACAAGGAGAGGTTGAAATTTCTCAAATTGTTTTCTCTTGAAAAAAAGAGTTAGCAGGGATCTGATGAGGTGTTTAAGATTGTAAAGGGAATTGATAGTGTTGATGCATCATCGTTTTTCATATTTAACAGTAAGAATAGTAGGACTACAGTACACAAATATAAATTTTGGCAGGTTAGGAGTCTATCTTCAGCCAAGACTGTTATATTTTTCTAATAGGGTGGTTGGCTTTTGGAATGGGTTGCCTTCGGATATTGTGGAGGCAGTAAATTTAAGAAAAAAGTTTGATAAGTATATGAATGATAAGGGTTGGCTTTAATTTTTTTTTAAATTTATTAATTATAATTTAGTTTAGAAGATGGGTCAAAAGGTCCCAAAACATTATGTTATTAAAAGTGGAACACTCATTTTAATTTCAACATTTTTATGCTCATATCTTCATGTCATGCATCAACACACACGAGTGATGTAAATCAATAAATGTACATTTTATGATTGGTAAAATTAATACTTTTGATTGAATTTCATACACTCAATCCAATTCAAAATGTTGAGTAGTAGTGGCATTATTCCCATTACTCCTAGTAATTGTATTAGTTAAGTTTAAATATTTTTATAGTAATTTTGAAAATTGGCACAAACACGATCAAATAGAATATCAGAATAGAAGTACTAGTAGTATTACTACTACTACTAGGCAAACACCAAAACATCTGATTTCCGTTTCATTTTTCTCATCATAGGTAATGAAGTTCCATTTTTGATAAGAAACAATTTATTAAAAACGTACAAGCTTTCGAGTTCTAATCCAGAAAATTACTTTTATTATAACTTATAATACTTAATAATATTAATAACACTAAGCAACAGTTAATACACAGTGTGATTCTTAGTCTTAGTAGCTTCTTTAAAGTTATGATAATTATATTAATAATCGTCTTTGACACAATCGGAAAAAAGGGCCTCATTTTTAAATCTTAAATTAAATAAGTACACTTAAAAGTTAAATGTTAGAATCCCCTATTTTTTCAACAAAAAACTTTTCAAAATGTTTAACTTATAAGACTTACTCTTACTATTAGACCTAATCCTACTCAAAAAATCTAACTATAGACTACTGACTAGTATAGCCTAGGCTTAACGACCTACTCAGTTTAGCCACATAATTTATATATTTTGCTTAACTCTCCACAATAATAAGTATTAAAACCAGCTTGTAATATATATTACATTTACAGTACTATTACGAATTGTATCAATACTTGAAAAAATTTCAGATTACATACACGAAAAAAGCCTGTGTCTGTCATTTTAACAACGTTGCCGTATTAGAATTAAATCATTACTAATAGTAATAGTACCACGTAACTAACTTTCTCCAAAAGATAAGCTTAACAGTGCTATAACTATTAGTATAATAAGTAGATGGCGCATGTTTGTAAATAATAAAATGGAATGAAAATTAACCGTTAATGTGATTTCTTTCAAATACATCTCGTTTTTTGTTTTTTAAAGGGTGATTATATAACGTTTCTACAAAATATTTTTCAAACACCAGTTAAATCTTACTTTATTTTCACTTAAATTGTTTTAATGTTTATTAAAACAAAAGATATTGTTTTATTAGCGCAAAGCTACACTATAGGCTATAGGCGATATCAATTGTTATGGTGTGAATGCCTTTAAGAAGCTGGCGAAGCATGATATAATTAATTATATTTTTCATGGTTTATTGCCAATTTCTCTAAAATAGAAGCACCACTGTCTGCTCTCACTGAACTTCAGATTAACTTTTGATCCCTAGCCTTACTTCATTGGAGGTCCTAGTACTGGCATAACCATGGAAAGACAACAAAATACATTCCTACTGGGCACAAAGACCAGTGATAATGGTATTGGAGAAGTGTTATCATAGTTGCAGTACAAAGTAGAATATGTAATCACGTATGTTGGGCATATGCTTATAGTTGCTGATAGCAGATACTGTATACACACATACGCGGCATATTTTTGTGATGTAAAAAAATTATACTTGTATAATTATAGCTCAGCTGCTTATGGTAGTTAACCTTTTAGATGTTTGTGGATTTTATGCGCTATGCAATTGCTTAAGCTATATTTCATGCGAAATTGCTTCTAGATTTAATCTCATAGCACCTATTTTTTTTTACAAATTTTCTGTGGGGCATGCCCCCAGACAACTGTAGCATTAGTATGCTTTGCATGCTGATAATAATTTGCACAATATGTGTTGGCCTTTGATCTCACCAATTAAAACCCCTTTTCAAACATTCTGCGTACGGGCCTGTTATATGACGAAGAAAGAATTGGTTTCAGTTCCAGTCTTCTTAAAACATGATTACCACTACTTGTACGGTAGGAGGCTCATTGTCCACGTGGATATGCTTCAATGAAATGGTTAATGAACTTTATAAATCCACAAGGGATGGCAAAATATTAGATAATAATATTGCAAGAATATGACTTTGTCATAGTCCATTGCCCTGATCCAAAACACAGAAACATAGTTGGATTATCTCACCACCCAGTGAGACTATTCATTTGTGGAATGTCCTGATACCATTTCAAAGAATAGCAGCATCAAACCGTACAGTAAGAAATTCCAAGAATAGATGTATGCTACAACTGATACTTTCGTAGCTCTGGGAAAAGCAACAAAAGGACCTAAATCTAGTATTAGTGCTTCTTGCCATACAGTAAGATAAAGTATGGCCAATACAAATTGAAGAATAGCAAAGATGCATGTACCCTGTAGTACTTTCATGACCCATTATGGATACAACAGGCTTGTCCATTTTACTAAAAGCTTGGTATATTCGGTATTACAGTCAACATTCCTTTTCCAGCATGGGGTTGGTCAATTGTGTACATTTGTTT